ATACTATGATAAATGTGATATGAGCTTTGAAAACAAAACAAAAAAAACTTATCAGTCACATGTTTGTTCTGACAAGTTTATGTTATACCATCTGTACAAAAATAATAAGTCTTTAACCACTTCTAAATAGCTTTATGTCACAGATTCCCATTCTAGATGATTATCGTAGGATTTAGTAAAATTTCTCGAACAAAAATTGTTAAAATGTAAATAATGTGTTCTCATGACTCATACATATTTGCCATCTTGGTTGGTACAATTATTTCCCATCCGATGAGGACCCGAGGATTTCGTACGCCCAAAAATTTAATCTATGAAATATCTATATTTAATAAACAGTATCGAAAAGATGGCAGAAATTGATGTATTAGAATTACTAAGGACTTTCTGGTGAAATGATTCACATAAGTCCGCTAATACATATATACAATAAATGTACATCAGTATGGGTAAAAAACGAAAGTTGATAGAATCCTCTAAGAAACGCTCTCCCAGTATGCACTCTTAATTCTAACGGGAAGATTCTTCGCTTAACGGTTTTCTATTTTCTTCTCATTATCACATGGAAAAATGCATATCTCGCTTTCAACTGCTTAAAATGATATCTCGTTCCATAGATTTTTTAGTAAATTTACTCTTCTATAAAACGTATCTTTAGGTTTTTTTGTAAACCTTTTCGTTTAGAATATATTAATGGTTGAAGTTTTAAGCAATTTTGTGTGTTTTCTTTTGAAATTTATAACTCAATGAAAAAACATCATTTCAAATTGCAAAGTTCATAGACTGTGAGAAATTTACTGTTCTACAAAAATTAAAATTTAATTTTTTTTGTTTTGTTTTAATTTGATAGGCATTGATATCTGACGTTGGATGTCTCGTAAACGCTTAACTTAATCAAAAAATTATACAAATAATTTTTGTAGACCAGAAAACTTCCTACAAGTCTATGAACTTTGCAATTTAAAATGATGTTTTTTCATTGAGTTATTTAAAAGCATGATACTTTCGAGATTAGTTAGATTATTTTAGTCTGTTTGTAATATTGTATTTATGGTAAATAAAAATGTAATTCTTAGACAAACTTCAACACAGTTAACTTCATTTGAACTCGTTTATTTCTAAAAGCAGAAAGCAGTGATGGGGGAAATAAAAGACATGGAGAAGTCTATATCTAAGTTTTTTATTATTACACACATGCATATACCATACACACTTGTACAATACAAACCTACATATGGCTGTAAGCGAGAACATACGACGGCACTTCAGCATTATGTACCTTTCAGTGTGCTGCAGCATTTTTAATTGGTAGAAAGTTTTTCAATTATTAATTTACAAAGACACACAACAAGCGAGCATACAAAAAACACACAGACGCTTTACGCTCTTCGTAATGTGAAAGCTTTCGCTCACATATATGCTCGTACGTACAGTTATAGATACATTTGTGTATGTGTGTATGCAACGAGGAGTCGACATCTTTTTTAACTGCACTTAGGACATAAATTGTCAGATCCGCAAGTGACTTAGTTGCATTGGACCGGGGTTGGCGCTTTCTCCTGCATATATGTACATATGTATGTACACTGAGTGAAATGTAGGAATTGATGGCTGAAGTGCGTTGTACTCATTAGGAAAACTTAGTTGGACTGTGTAGCGCGCCTGTTGAAAGTAATTCACGTATGCATGCATACAACTGGCACTTAAGTGCTTGCGACACGCTAGCTTGATGATTGCACTGTCTGATTGCCGTTAGTGTGCGCAAGTAGTTTGCTAGTTAGCGTCCATCACTAGTGTTTTGTGTTGTTAGTAGTCTAAGCTTTGCGCCATAGCTCAAAGTTGGTAGTCGCTGTCATAGATTTTGTTGGCAATACTCGTACTAGCGTCAATACTTTAATTTGCACTAATGTACTTACCTATGTTGCATACCGGCTCCTTGAGTTTACGCTTACATAGTCTTTTAACGGACAAACTTGAAACTATTAAAAAATTAGCGAATGCTTTTATATAAATAAAATAATTAGTATATTGTAATGGTGCATTATATACGATATGCGGAAATAAACTATAAATCTCAGACCACCACAGTCTCCGTTTTGATCCATTCGGCAAAAAAATTTGAATTTTTTAAGCAATTTTGTTTTACTCTACAAAATTTAGTAAACTATAAAAATGCAGTTTGTATTATATGATATGAAGAATTCTGAGAAGGAAAGGCAAACCAAGCAAACTGTTTTGAATTATGTCAAATCTGTTGACATCTTTAGTAATAAACTAAGTTCCAAATTTTGAACGCATGTTCCAGCATTGACCTGACTATCTCCATCTCGCGTTTAAAATTTTTCGAAATCAGACCATAACTTTTCAAGCCCCCCAATATCAAGTATGTGGATCTCAGTGCCTATGGGCGACCTTTAACCAAACACATAGTTCAATCTATAAGAATTATTGTTGAAATTTAGAGGGAATATTTTTCCGATAATAATGTGCCCTTGTGTCAAAAATGGAAAAAATACTTCCCCTTGTTCCCACATTCTTAATACAAGTATATGTATTTTCCAACTTCTGTCCATCTTCAACCATATATATCGAACATGTGAGATATCTTAATGAAGAGCATCTTGGTGATAATATGTCTTGATGAAATCGGATCAAAACTACATAGCCCCATATTACTCGCGTTACCAGGTTAGCACACCTTCATCAGCCTAATACAATTGCTTCCGATTTGTTTTCTGTTATTAACTTGCAACTCTTTTATTGTTTTCTGATTTTCTCATCTTTGCATGAACAATTGAGAAGGCAGAAGTCTAAATGCTACATACAATTTCTTGCGTAATAAGTCTGTTTCCGTAAAGCGGAATTAGTTGAAGGTTTTAAAAAATTTTGATCATTAATTTCCTTAAATTGGAAAATTGTGCGAATCGCTAACCAATTGGATCTTTAAGATCATTTTCAACAAGGCGGGATCGACTTATTATTAAAATAATATACAAATGTTTATGTTAGTTAATATATAAGTTTAAAAATATGTTTTTGGCTAAAAAAAAAAAGTAACCAATATTAAAAAAAAGAAAAAAACTTAACTTCGGTTGCACCAAAGCTTTCAAAACCTTCAGAAATACAAAATATTTCTTAGAAGAACTTGATTCCGATCGTTCAGCTTGTATGGCAGCTATGTGCTATAGTGGTTTGACATCAGCGGTTCCGACAAATGAGTATCCTCTTAGAGAGAAAAGAACGTGTGCAATATTTTAGATCTGTGCAAGCATGTTTTCGAGAACACTAGAGTAATGCGCAAAGCTAATGCAATCAGTCCAGACTTCTGCTACCACAATGTACCCGATTACTATACGAATTTTCATCATACTTTAAACCGTTTATGTTTGTCAATATGTGTGTGATATTTGAATGATATTGGGTGGCAATATTTTTTATACACAATGAGGTTTAGCGCAGGATATGAATGAAATTGGTCTAAGCTTTAGATCAAAACCTCATATTCCTAATTAAATGCATTCTGATCCTTTGGTTGATGTTTTCCACATACATATACCTAATTTATTGAATTCCGGGTATTTTTTAAGCTCCAAAAATATTTTGAAAGATTTAGAGAATTCATCGACGTATTGACTCAAAAGTATGACCACAATTTATTGTATAGTGTTTCCAGTTAAGAACGCAAATATTGGCTACTAACAGTAGATTTTTTTTAAATTTTTCAATGAACATCTGTACTTGTGAGCAGGATTGCAAATAATGCATCAAAAAAATAATTGAATTAACATTTGAATTAAAATTTTTTTTATTTCGGAATCCCAAATACGCGATTAAAAAAAATTTTATCCCGCATACCGGATTGACAAATAAAAAAAAAGTTTTAATCTCAAGCTTACAATTAGGAATTAGAACAATTTTTTCGCGTTCATTCAAATCAAACAAAAAAAATATTTAAGATTTTTAATTTTTAATCTGAAGTATCTGGAATTAAAAAATTAAAATTTTAATCCCAACATCGGAATGAAAAATTAATTTTTTTTTCAAAAGTTTCAAATAAAAAAATATAAGAAATACAATTTTTATCCAAACGTTTTAAATTAAAAAATTCTTAACCCTACTGGTGAGGAGTCTTATTTAGCATTGGTGCAAAATGGCAAACTTCAATTGTCACTGGACATACAGAAATCTAATTGCCGTTTGTTGAATCTACGCTATGTTTGCAAATGAATAGCAAAAACTAAAAATAAAATAAAATAAAAAATCAGCGGCAGCAATGATTTACTATTTTATGATGAACGAAGCTCGGCTCTTTGATGTTCCGGCAATTGCAGATACATACACTTGAAAAATCATAACCTGCAAGTGGTCGGCAATAAAGAAGAAAAACACTACATAGCGCTGCAACAACAACAGCAACTGCCAGTACCTGCCATGACAATCCGCAACTGCTCAGTGCAAGCTAACATCCTAATTCAATGAAACTCAATGCAATTGAAGCTGTGTCCCATTTTGATGCACACGTGAAGAAGTGTCCCTGCCACCTACCGCATTGCGCCGCACACCTATGCGCATATGATATACATACATACATAAGTATAAGTGCTTGATAGTCTGGTCGGCCGATTGCCGACTTTTGTTGCCAACACTTGTGCACTACAAAACGCAGGTAATCATTGCCGTTGTCTTGAGAGTTCGGCAATGAAAACAAAATATTGACATAAGCGGCGAACATGCAAAGCGGCTGCGACGACGACTGCGGCAGACAGCGCGGACGGCTTGGAAAATCACAGTATCGGCGGCGATGGCGGTGTAGGAAACATCAGCTATTCAAATGTCCATGTGGTTATGGACACGTTCGTGTGCAGCTGTTCGGCCAACACGTATGTGTCTGTGTGCGTGCGACTTGGAGTCGTGAACATTACTTTGGTAGTTGTTAGTGAAATGGCATGGCTTGGCTTGAAGCGGCTGGAGCGGCAGGTAATGTTTCAGTTGGAATCACTATTTACACACATTAGAGTGTCCGTGCTGGTATTGGCAGCGACAGCGTCATCGGTATAGCCAACATCCGTCGTTTAGTAGTTGTTTGCATATTGTAATTGTTGTTTTTACTTTAAGTCATGCCAGTGGTAAAATTCACCTGTGAAAATTTTAAATTGGAAAATGTGCCCGGCCACTTAAATAAAAAGCAAGAACACACACACATACATATGTATTAGTGTAAATACAGATGCGAGCATGCACTTGTAGCTACATATACGTATGTATTTATAAACCATGTGTTTATAAGTCTAATAATGTACAATACCGGCCATTGCTTTTTGAACATTTTGTTTTCTTTCTTCTAGCCAAGGTGCATATATTGCCTTAAGTATCCACAAAAAATATAGGAGAGTGGATAGGAGAGGAGAGGAGAGAGGAGACTCGTTGTCATAGTCGTCGGCTACATGCAACGTGCCAAATTCTTTGGCGGCAAAGGAAAGTGATTTGAAGATGACGAGCTTGAGACCACACAAGACGTTTATGTTTCTTCGTGTTACTTGAAAAACACAACGAATATCAATTAGAAAGGAAGTGTTGTTTTTGTTATAACTTATTCATTATCATTGTTTAAACTATTGTTAAATATGTACTAATGTTTAATATTTAGCTTCTTAATTTGACAATCGTACTGGCTCGAGAGTAAATTTTATATTGAATTAAACGGGAATTGTACTAAAGCTCTGGAATTAATAAAGACTGAAAAAAAAAGATTCTGGAAACTGGTCAAACCTATGGAAAACACTATTCAATTCGCTAATGAAAACGATAAAACTTGCGTAAAACTGGATTTCATTATCGAACGGAAGGTAGCTGGTTATGATTTCGATTTAATTAATCAGATTAATCGTTGTGAATTGGAAGTATGCCTTGCATATTAAAAAACCTTTCCCAATATTTTTCAATAAATTTTGTAAACTGCTTTTGTAGGCAGTATAACGTGTTCAATTCATCACCCTAAGAAACCTTGATATTACCTAGATCGCCTTTTGTGAATTTGAGTGTATAGTTGGATAAAAAATGGCGGCTACTGCACTATGAGTACCATTCTGGACCTTTGGTGCTTAGGAAATGCAGTTTCGAAAAAAACGCGTTTAATATTTTCTGCTTGAAACTGACTGAACTGAACATTTCGGCACTGCAGTGGACAGTGATAAGGAAATATTTCCTTTTTCTCTGTTCTACGAATTGAATAATGTTTGAAGACTCAAAAAGGATTTCGATTTTTTGAAAATCTCACATTGATCTAACTTCTTAAATGTGCTTAAGAAATCTTTACTGAATTTTGGAAACACTTTTCCTTTGAGTTATTAAACTATCCATTCAAGCCGAATATTTTTATCTCCATCGTGATTCGCTAATTATATATGTATGTATATGCACGTACTTTCCTATAGGGTCTCAACAAATAAATGATAATCAGATTTATTTATCGCTAGAAATTTAATTTCTCCCAACGAATAATCGCTTTTCTGCGCTTCTGCTGCGACTTTTATTTGTATCTTCGTACGTCTGGATACATGCGTCGTTGTCCAAACTTTATCTTACCGTTTGCTTATATTGGTGGACTACCAATTTTTGTGCTAACACTGCCTAAATAGCTAAGCTCATCGACTTCTTCCAATGGCGCGTTGACGATTTATAGGACTGGCATCTCGATTGTGTTGACGCACATGATTTTTGCTCCTGTTTGTACAGCGTAATCGATGGTGTGGTTAGGTTAGGTCATAAGGTTAATCCCAAAAAATCGATGGAGCTCCTTTGGACAGATCTTTGTCCTTTGTGTTACCCATAAACTCCTAAAAGTGGATCACCAGATCCTCATAGATCGCCGAAGTGTTTTAAATTGGTTAATATCAATCCCAGCTACTTCACTAGGTTCGCCAAAGGTGTTTCTATATCAGTCTGGCATAAACCGGGTAGTAGAAAAGGAAGTGAGAAGATAATTCCACCTCGTCTTCCTGCATAAAGTTTTGGCAAAGAGCAACCCATAAAATATTTAACCACATTGCGTGGGAGCGTATTGGGGAGTGTCCAGTTAGAACACTCATAATTGAGATTGACTTTGCCATGAACCAGTTGTTCGGAGAACCTCTTACGGTTCACTGATGATTACATATTATGGATAATATGAGATATTATTTTGTTCTCCATACTTATAAGTGTTATTCCTCTCCAGTTTTATATACGGAAAGATAACCCTTATTCGGAAGAATAATAATAACGCCTTCTTTCAGCCCTCTTTTTAGCTTTTCTGAAGCACATATATCTTTAAATAAGGAAAGTCGTCTGAGTATCAGTTTTAAAAAGTCCCGGTTTGATGTTGTTCGGTCCGAGAGCTTTGTTGTTTTTTAATGATCTGATGTGGCAGCCATAATCTTAGCCTCATTCGAGAATGAGACGTTAATTACCTCAACGAAAATCATTATTCATGCTGATAAAAAAAATCTAAGTTCATTATTAGTCATATAGAAAGCATTTAATTAATAACTATGCAGAAATTTCACGTGATATGGAATGCATGACTTCAAAAACTTCCAACTGATATTTTTAAAAATAACTGTATGGCAATTGTGCTTAAAAGCGTAGATATTGATATCAATAACACCTCGTGCTTGTTTACTTCTATAAATTTAGCTGCGTTTGCATCTGCGCTTCGCCTAATTCTATGCAAATTGGCCTCATTATGCTTTTATTCATAACGCTAGTGCTAATAATTAGAATGACAATAGTTGTGCGAGACTTGAGGCTACCCAGCGCTCACCGCCCAACGCTTATTCGCCAGCTTGCGTATTCTTAATTAAAGTGCTTTGCTGGCACATTTTCGCTATTATGAAAAATTATTATTATTTTCATTATGTGTACACACACTTCAGTAAAGCAACAATAATGACGAAAACAAAAAACAAAAAGTGAAAATAAACAGAAAGGCCGGCAGGTCCTTCGAATTGGCGGCCACGCTCACAACAATCCTCTACTTAAAATGGAACTCAAGAGGCAGCGCTCGCTTTTGTCAATTGGCGCAGCAGTTTTATGCCATAAAATATTGCACGGCTTGAGTATTTAGTGTGTGTGCATGTGCAGCACTTTATTTTGTGCCTTTAATTTTCGTATTTCCGCGTATTCCCCCGCACTCGCTTTCTCGTGCGCTTGCTAGTTTATGGGTTTATTTCGTTTTTTGATTGACTGACGCTTTTATACTCGTCATCGGCGCGCACAAACAATTTATCTCAATGGCCCTTGAGCGACAAACGTTTGCACAAACAGTCGCGTCCAGCTGAAGCGTTTGCGTTTAAAGGTGCTTTGTAAGCGTTACACACCCTCGGTTGGCGGTGGCTTAGTGGGTTGGTAGGCTGTGGCAGGCAGCACCACCGTCACTGCTACTATTATTATTAGTTGTAGCATCGATGAAATTGCTGTAACTATGCTGTGTAATATGTGTCGCTTGCGGTTTGGCAGTGCAACCACAATATTTTGCTATTTTGTATTTATAAACATTCGCTTATTGTTAGTTTCCGCCGTTTGAGCTGCAGCCTCTTTAATACTCGATGTCAAGCATCGTCGCTACTGGCACTTGATCGAGTACCAGACGACCATAGGAGCTTATTGTGCCCTTTGTGTTCGCTGAATATACATGTTTCGTTTTTGGTCAGTAGGCACAGCTTTGCTTTCGTTCCTTTATCTTTCTTTATTTGCAGATTGTTACAATTGATGCGGATAATTGTATTTGACACCTTCGATTATTTGGCTGTGCAAGTAGTGAGTAGTTGTGTTATTGACAGTTTGTCATTTTGCCACAGTGATAAAGGTTTATTTGCTTTAAAACTTATATTTAATATATGTTTATTACCGTTACATTTGGTCAAAAATATAGGTTCATCTAGCTTACGAATATGAATGTAGATTCGCGTTAATTACAGCATTAGTTTCACGTATATTTTTGTTAAAAATATCATTAGAAAAGAGTTTACAAAAATCGGCTCTATAAATTTAATTCTAACTTATTAAAATAATTACATTTTTGTTTTTTAAAAATCATTATTTTTACATAGTTTTTATTAAAAATATATATTATGTGATTATATTTATGTAGGCAATATAAGGTAATGACATTTAAAGGAGGGAATTCTGATCTTTGAGACTTATGTATGTATATGTATTTGCGAATTAAGAGAAATATTTACTTTTTTTTTTATTTTTCTTGACATAAATTGCACAAACCACTGAATGAGCTAAAACAGGATTTTTCTTGTTAACTTCGGTTGCAGTGAAATTATAAAAATTTACAAATACAAAAGATTTCCTAAAGAACTTGATTTTGATCGGTCATTTTATACGACAGCTGTATGCTATAATGGCCCGATCTGAATAATATCTTCGAATGTTATACTCTTATTTTAGACAAGAGCTCATGCCAAATTTCGTGAAGATATCTCGCCAAATAAAAGGCTTTGCATACAAGGAATTGATTTTGAACTTTGAGATTATATGGCTGCTATATGCTATAGTGGCCCTACAAGTATATCGTCGGTTCTGCTAATTGAGCAGTTTTTTAGAGAGAAAAATTTAGTTATATATTAACTCACAACAGAATAGAAATAGCCTTACCTTATGTGTTAATATTTCCTGTATAAACAAAATGAGGTCTGAGAACTCTAACCAGATTTCGTTTTCGAGTTTATTAATCCCCTATTTATCTTAGACACTGATGGCTAATCTATAGTTGTTGTACTCAATTGAATAAACATTGATCCGAGAAAAGTGTAGTGATTTTTGACTCTGCTATTATTATTATTTTTCAATGATAGCTAATTATTTTTATCTAATGGCCTCGTAATGAAATACTACTTATTGTATTATATTTTTGTCGTTGATACTATAATATACCTCTTTTAAGGTAAGCTAGTATCAAAATATTGCATACCATCCCTTCAAATTTGAAGTACGAAGATTTTGCTTCGTATTTTATTATAAATCTTTATTATCGCTTTCAAAATATTGTAGCCTCCTGAGCCAATAAAAGCATATCAACGCTTAATCCAACTTTCCATTTACTTGTTGTAAGCCTCGGCTGGGATGGCCTTTAGGTAGTTTTTTCGGTTGCGGCTAATTTTTTGGACAGTTTATAAATCCACTTCACACGAACATAAAAAAGGTTATACCGATCTAAATTTAAATGAGTAAAAATACTGCTAATACTTCAGAAGTCCAATTTTTTCTCCAATTTGCTTGCTCATTATGTATTGAGTGATCTTTTTATGGTTGAAATACATTGTCATGATTACCATAAAGTTCTCAACGCGCACGGCTACATAGGTACATATGTCGGCCATCAATAACCTGCAACCAACATCATTCTCTCTAACAAAACTATAAAGTAATTAAATACATGCAACCCATTAGTTTATAAGCGCTCAGATGTACGAAATGGTTTGAGTATTTGGCATTTGTGATAAACTCAAATAATTAGAATTATGAATTTAATACTTTCGAGCAAAAGTGCCAACTTCGATCGAAATTAACGCTCAACTACCATATATTGTATATCGGTATTAAATAAGTTCTATAATTAGCTCTGATTAATACTAATTTAAATACCTACATATATCATATTATGCTAAAAAATTATTTTATTTGTGCGTATGGGCATCGATCAAGTTAAAAAAATTTATTTGTAAAATCATTTCACACAAAGAAATGAAAATAAAAAAAAA